TGTGTGTGTGTGTGTGTGTGTGTGTGTGTGTGTGTGTGTGTGTGTGTGTTGTAATAAATGCAGGACCGCCTCACTCTAATCAAGCTGATTAAAAATTCATACGCGCACAGCCGGAAATCGCACCACCGTTGAGTGTGCGTGCGCGTGCTTGTGTTTGTGTGTGCGTCGTCTCCGTGCCCCATCACTTTCTCTACTTTATTCTGCTCCGACAGGACCCCCCTAAAAAAATAACACACACAAAAAAAAAAAAAAAAAAAAAAAAAAAAAAAAAACAAACAACCCAAACTGCGGAGGAATATGTTTTAGTCGCGGGGTTATTTGGTCCGACTCTCACACTTTCTGTGTGTTTCTCGCCTCGCGGGGAGTAAATATGTTTAGATATTTCTCCCCCACGCCTTTGGAAGGAGCGAGGAGGAGAAAGGGAGAGCAGGGAGGAGAGCAGAGGGGGGGAGTGATGAGTCAATACAACTAATAATTTAATGGGGACAGAGAGAGGGAGACAGAAAGAACCGGAGCTCCGTCCGGACGACATCCCCATCCGACAGGACGCCTCCTCCCAGCACCGCCAGCCCTCCAATGCGGCCGCAGCGAGCCTCATCTTCCAGCTCGACGTCGGAAAGTAAACGGCACTTTTCTTTTTTTTCTGTCCTCCTTTTCTTTTCCTCTTGTTTTATTTTGGCGAACCTGTTTCGGCTGTCCGCATACGTCGTCACCGCGTCGCCTAGCAGGGACGACACACCGCCGCTTCTTTATGTTTCTCTCCCGGTTCCGCCGCCGGTTTGACACAAATAACAACCGAGCTGTTTTTTTTAAACCAGTTCCTGAACAAAAACACAACCGGGCAGGGTTTGTTCGCCGCTTCTATCAGCTAAAACTCTCTTTTTCTCTCTTCTTTTATTTTCGGACGTCGCGGAGCGAACAGCCGAAGTCGCCTTCACTTGTAACCGCAGGAGTCGACGCGGCTAACCCGCTCCACTTCCAGCCAAACGTCGGGAGGTTTTTGGGGTTTTTTCTGGGGACAGATTGAGCTAAACGTCCTGACAGAGATGTAACCGCTCACCCAGTGTTCGGCTGTCACGGTCCGGTTCGACCTCGACGTCGGCTCGCTGTCGTGGGTTCGCGTGTCGCTCCGCAGCCGGGGAGCAGTGCTGTCCTTAAACACGGTTTTCTTTAATTTTCTTTCTTTAAATCCTCCAACCTTTTGCCGTCCTGCACGTGTAAAGCGAACAGGAGTTGTCCTCTTCTTTTTTTTTAAATCTTTTCTCTGCTGGCAGAACTTGAAGCGTCTTCCAGGCAGGCGATGTTTTCTGCTCTCCAGTGCTGAAGTGCTGCGGTTCAGGTTGTTATTCTTTTTTTTTTTTAACTTTTCTCTCTTTAAGAGTTAGTTTTTTTCTTTTCTGTGTAGGTCATTTAAAAATCCTGACCTGGATCTGGAACATATCCGGGTCTGGATTCCTGAGTCCCCCCCTCCTCCTGTATTTGTGGGGAATTAGTTGCCTCGGTGCTTGTTCTGAATGGACCAGTTCATGATCTTTGGGTTGATTTTGTCCAGTTCATGTCCGTTGGCACCCATTAACCTGCATCCGTGCATTTCCACCTGAACACAGTTAATCCTGATTATAATCTGAGGGAGCACCTGTGGGTTCAGGGGCGGAGCTAGAAATATATTTTGGGGGGGCCAAGTTTACCAATGCAGGAAAAGTTCACTTTTATGCTTAATTTCTGGTTATTTGTCTGTAAATATGGATTACAAAAAATATAAACTTAATTTTTCCCTCTTTAAATATAAAGTAAATATGAAATG